CTTCTTCTTCTTCTTCTCTTCTTCTTATTCTTTTCCTGCCACATCTTCACTGAGTTATAACTGAGGTGCAATAAACTGCATATTCAAAGGCTGTATGTGCATGGTGCTCTGGGGACTTAGTGGTAAGGAGTTGCCCTGCCAACCCAAAGGCACGCAGTTCAAGATGGTTAGTCTCCTCCTCCTATGCCGTTTACGCCTCTGAAAACTTGCTTGATGGTCAGCTGTGAGTTGGTTCTGATTCAATGGGACACAACAATAAACATATATCAATAAGTAGAGGAAGAGAGGGAGGAAGGGAAGGAGGGGGGAAGAGGGAGAGGGAGAGGAAGAGAAGGAGATGGAGAGAGAGAGGGAGAGGGAGAGGGAGAGGGAGAAGGAGAAGGAAAAGGAGAAGGAGAGAGGTGGGGAGGGAAAGGAGAGAGAGAAAGAGATCCTTACCAAATATCATCAATACAATGAAAATAATGACGTATGAGTTAATGTCTGTGCCTCCACCCACAGCCCTGCCTGATGCTTCTCTGATCCTGTTTTTGTCTCTTTTCTTTTTCTACATCTGTGTGTTTGTGTAATGTTCCTCCGACCTCGGCCTCCTGGTCCACTCTCCCCTGAAACCCGAATCCCTCTCAATCTCTTTCTGTCTCAATGCATCCTTCCCCCACCCCCCACCCCGCCTAATTCTCCATCTCTCCTTTAGTCTCTGTCCGTCTCTTCCTCTCTCTCTTCATGTCTCTTTCTCTCTATCAGGGGCTCTTGTTCTCAATATTTGTCTGTCTCCCTCTTGTTTCTTCTCTGTACCTTTCTGTAGCTTCCTGTCTGTCCTCTCTCCAGCTCTTTTTCTCCTCTTAGTTCTTTTCTCCCTCATCTTGAGTCTTTTTCTTCCTTCTGTTTCTCTGCCTTTTATTCCATTCTCTCTCTGTCTTTCTGTGTGTGTGTCTCTCTCCTCCTCTCCCTGTTGCCTTTCCTCTTCACCTCTCATGCTTTTTCTCATGGCTTCATCTTCCTTCTCCTTCTCTCTCTCCCTTCCCTCTCCTTTAAAAGTATGCACCCTTCCCTCTCTTCCCACGTTTCACTCCCATTTCTTTCCCCTCTGCATCTTCGTTTCTGTCTCCCTCTCTCTCCCATCTCTTCCTTCCCTCCTTTCGTAGTCCCACATTCTTGGCTGTGATCCTTGTTTGTGCCTTAAAGCCCCTCTGTCTCGCTCACACTGCCTTTGGGCCAGATGCCACTTTGTAAGGAGCCCTCAGAGACCCTCTCCTGCCCCTCAACCAGACGAACAGTAGTCCAATCTGGCCTCCCCTCCCCGTGGCTGCCTCAGCCTGGCTGGCAGTCAGGCACCAGACGTGGGTGAGACCTGGGCAGGGCCATCTGCAGATGGAGAAAGAAACCCCTGGGGGCGGGTGGTTCCTGGCACTTTGGGAAATGGGACGTTGGGTGGGGAGCACAAAAGGTGGTTTCTTCTCCCTCATTCCTGAGCGCTCGGAGCTGCCTCTCCCCGACTGGTCTTGTCTCCGCTCCAGGTTTTCCCCTCTCTCCACACCTCACCTCCCACCTCTGTCTGTCTCTCCGCACCTGACTTTAGGGTCTCTATGATTCCGATTATAGTTATGTGCCAACTCATAGCTGATCCTCCAGAGGGTTTCCAGAGTCTGTAAACGGCACAGGACACCCTTGGTACCAAGAGTCAAGAAATCAAAAGATGTGTTGCGTTGCCTTGGGGAAAATCTGCTGTCATGGACCTCTCTAAACTGCTAAAAGATGTCAGTTTAAAGACTAACGTGCTCCTGATGCAAGCCTCTGAAAGCTGAACAATGAATGAGGAGGACAAGGAGAAGAATCAACGCCTTTGACTTGCGGTGTTGGAGAAGAGTAGTGAACATCCCATGAGCTGCCAAAAGAACAAACATCTATGTCTTGGATGAAAGTGTACCTAGGGTGCTCTGTGGAGATAAGGATGGTGACACTTCATTTCACTTACTTCTGGTATGTTTTTAGGAGAGGGCACTTCCTGGAAAAAGACATCGTGCTTGGAAAAATACAGGGTTAGCAAAAGACAAGAAGATCCTCAATGAGATGGGTTGTGACAGTGTATGTCAGAGAGCATGAGGATGGCTCAGGATAGGACAAGGTTCCACTCTGTTGTTTACAGAGTTGCTATGAGTTGTAGTTGACCTGGTGGCACCGATCACCGTGATCCAGAATCAATTAGCTGGCACTGAGCTTGAGTTTTGGAACATGCCGTCATTAAGGAAAGTATAAGTGCACTCTAGAGGTGTAATTAATAAGGAGTTATGTTGCTAACCCAAACCTTGTCTTTCTCTGGCAGTTTGATTTCACTGGTCCCCTGAACTAGGATTCCTTTATCTGTATTCCAGTTTCTGTAGAATGACAAGTTTTAGAACTTTTTTTTTTTGGTAGTTAAACAATGATTTTATTGCTCATGTACATGAGACACATTTATGCAACCAGGACAGAGGCTGTGGATGATTCATATTTCCAATTGGGAGGAAAGACTTTCTCCGTCTTGGAATATCGGTTTGATCCTCAGAGATTTATATGGTGTTGTATAAGTACATTTTGTGACAGGCAATACAATCTTGAGAATCCTTAAGCCCAAAGAATTTGCTCTGATTTTCCTAAAGATCTCTACTATTTGATTAAGAAAGCTGTTGCTGTTGCTTGAAAGCATCTTGATAGGAACAGAAAGGATGAGGATATTAAGTTCCAACGATCTTGATTGAGAGCCAAATTCACCAATTGGCTAGATACTACAAGACAACATTTTAGAACTCTTTTTTTATTTTTTTAACATTTTTTTTTCATTTTAGAACTCTTAAGGGTGATTCTATACACAGAGAAACAGCAACACAACAAAACCTAGTCCAAAGTTTTGAGTTCTTTTTTTTTTACATTTTATTTTTTTATTTTCTACTAGTTTATTGGAAGTAGGAGTGGCATCCACTTCCATAATAGCTTGCCTCCAGAAACCCTATGAACCTGGAGAAAGGATGAAAGTCACGCAAGTGTTGAGGACTCTCGTTCACAGGGTCGCTACAAGCTGCCTACGACTCGGCGGCATTTAACAACTTAAAAACAACACTAGTTTATTTACAAAATTCAAATACAAATTTGAACACATTCTTTCAATTTCCCTGAACCCCCCACCCATCAAATTATACAACCCAATGATTAATCCCCACCTCCCCCTGCACATCCACATCCCTCTGCTTCCAACCTCTCTCACCCCTCTTGGATTCTTACACTCATTCTACAATAATGGTTTTATACGATATTTATCCTTGTGAAACTGAGTTAGTTCACTCAGGATAATGCTCTCCAGTCCCTCCCAAGTTAGGTAATTACAAAATCATTGTTCCTACATGTTGCATAGTGTTCCATTGTGTGAATGTACC